CACTCTCACCACTACACTCTCACCACTACACTCTCACCACTACACCACCCGTGCTTCCAGTCTCAGTTCTTTTGCCTTGAAATACACGAGAAGACCAACAAGCAACTCTAGTCATGTGATGGCTGGTCTGAGTATCAAACCCATGACAGATGCTTTGATCAAAAGGTGGAACATTAGCAGTGCAAACAACCTGTGCTTCCCTATTAATAGCATGTCGGTGTTGAGTATTTTGATGTGTTGTTTTTCAGATATTTTTCAAGTTGTCAGACTTCACACTCACTGGTTGTTCTATAGACCCAAGATCTCTGAGTATTTATCCTAACTCTAAGTTATCCAAAGTAAATACAAGTAAGTCATATGAATTCAGAAGATTCATTAAATTAGCAAGAACATTAATTGAGTGTCTGTAATTGATCATGCTGCCTGTGTAGTGCATGAAAAGCCACACACCTGTTAGTGCCTGGATAGATGAGAAGCTATTAGTATATGTAACAGGACTCCATGCTGTCCAATTAAGAAATAATTGGACGAGGAAAATTCTGAGGACTGACAAAATTGGATGAGGCCGTAGGCCGAGTCCAATTTTTGCAGTCAGGAATTTTTCGAGTCTAATTATTTCTTGATTGGGGAGCATCAAATCCCATTACCTATTAATTATATAGCTGCCTAATTAATCCCATATCAACAAGACCTGTCCAATTAAGAAAATAATTGGACAGTTTCCTATATGGGATTAAAGAGAAGCTGTATAATTAATGTTTTAACAAACAACATTGACAACTCTGTATTGTATGAGAAGCCGTTTCAATGTCGCAGTAGGTATTACTATGTGAGAGAAGTCATTTCATTGTTAGCCATTGCAGCCATTTAACTGTTAGGACATGCTGTCTATGGTGCAAGGAAAACCATTTAAATATTGCCGTAGGCATTACCATGTACGGAAAGCCATTTCACTGTATGTTGCATGAGAACCTATTTAAGTGTTGTACTGTAGCACGCAATACCATGGGAGAAGCCATATCACTGTTGCAATGTGTGACAAACCAATTCAATGTCCAACACAGTATTTGTAACACTTTGTTCTGTTGGTTGTAGGTATTGAATTCATCACATCTGACTACAAGATATGGAACACATTTGGTGATGCCATGATAGCTAACTGTCCACCAACAGTGGAAGTCAGTGACGTCAAACAGTAGTGACATGATTAGAAGGTAGGGAGAGCACACCACTTTAGATACTGAATGTCAATATCACAGTCTTTTTTGATTAAGGTATCTTTCAAAAAGGGTGCATGGTAGGTAGTTTAGTTGTTGAAATTTCAGTTAGTTGAATATTCAGTAGTATATAAAATTATAAAATTTAAAAATCTTATACAGTAGTAGAAAAACAGCATGACATGCAAAATATGACCAGTGATTATGCACACAGGCTTTTGTGCATTAAACTAACAGATTTCAAAGAATATGAAGCTGACAGCTTTTAGTCAGGCAAGAATAAGGCATGTAAAGGCTTGTTTGGCAGCGAAAAGACTGTGCATAGAATTATGTGAATACATTAAATGTGGTCATACTTTTGCACATTGTGCTGTAAAAATATGTATAATAAAAATGAAAAAAACAAAAACAAAAAACAACACGAAAGTACGAAAGATATCAAAACTTTATTACTTGATCATATTCTTGAAATTTGGAACATAGCAGAATTACTTTTTGAATTACAAACTCCCCTGTATACAGCTGTACATGCAAAATTTGTAAACAAATAATTTCCATTAACTGGTAACAGTAGTTAGAATGCAACAAGCTTGAACTTCTTGTGTCTTTTTTTAAATTCTGTTATCAATAATTAAGTGACACTGTCTAGCACTTTTAGCAAAACCCTCTCTTTGTAAAAAATCTGCCATATCTAAAGTATGGTATTTCTAAATATTTGGCATAAATGAAAAGACACAGGAAAAGAGAACCTTAAAATTTGTTAAACACTCTCTAGACATCAGATGACCCCTGTATATAAAATTTACTTTAAAGGTCCATCGTCATAATAAAGCATTCTGAATCAAACTTAAAGGAATCCCAAAAACTGTATGATGTTAACAAGCTGTAGACCATTCTTTAGGAAGTGTCTGTCTGTCCAGGGCCCTGAGGACACAACAATCTTACTCTTCCAGATGGCCTATAATATGTCTAACATGCGAGTCTTTTCACTTTATACATTCTGGTCTTCCCAATAGCATTTACTTTACTCTTATACTAGGTTGAGCTCATTTCAAGCTCATGTTTCTAAGATAAACAACTGGCTACCTTAATATTATTAAATATTATTAAAAATATTGAACAAATATTAAACGAACATGCTGATAAAAGTCTGAGGTATATAAAAAAGTATTGTTATTATATTAGATATAAAAATAAATTGATAATTCATTTTATCTCAGTCTATTTTCTATAATTTGTCATGTGTGTTTTTCTCATATATATTAATAATATATAATAATTATGTATATAGTAACTTTTTATGCATTCAAGTTTGAAATAGAATCTTTAATCTCATTCCCTTCTTTCTGTCTTAAATTTCTTTCCTTTCTTCCTTTCTTTCTTTCTTCCTTTTTTTCTACCAGTGATTTCATTGTTATTAGTTAGTGGGGGCTGCTGTATACAGTCAATTCAAAAAACGTTGTCGCCGACTGGCTCAAGCCTACGCGACTGGACCGAAAGGAATATGGGTAAAAATCACTGAAGCAGTTAAATATTCATTCTGAATTAATTGTTCCTGCTAGAAATAAGATAATAATGGAGAGAAACAATCCATCAAATGCATGTCTTCGGGTTTAGGGAAAGAAAAACAAAGTAGTTATGATTCAGTTCACRATTCCGAAAGTATGAAGGCATTTAAAAAACGTTTCCTTCAACACTTCTCGCTTGCCTACAAAGGTTCATGCTGTAAACCAGGCATAACTAGTCAGATAAAATTATGGGGTCAACTCAGCTTCAATGATTGCTAGCCAGAGTTCCTTTTGGTCCAGTCGCGTAGACTTGAGTTGGTTGACGACAACATTTTTTGAATTGACTGTATGAGGATTCAATTCTTTCCTGGCAGCACCCGTTTTGCAACTTTTTTCTATTATTATTTGTTTGCAAATAAAGTTATAATTTTTTTTTTCTCCCTCTCTTCCTCTTTTCCCCGTTACTCATGTTTGCTTTCTTTTATAATGTTTATTTTTTAGAACATTTGATGCTCTAATAATTATTCTGTTCCAAGAATGAAACCCAGTTTTCAATTTGTGATTATATATATTTTTCTTCTTTTAATTAACAAAACCCTTCAGTCCTTCTTCTAGGAATTCAAAGTACTTCAAACTCACAAAGTCAGTGAATCCTTCTGGTAGGCTAAAAAAAGAAAAAGAAAATTACATTGCATAAAACCTTCAAATTCAAATAATTTTTATTCATTTGATACCCTGGAACAACCTCCGGGCTGATCAAAGTCATGGCACAGCTAACTCACAGATTGAACCCTGAAACAACCTCTGGGCTGATC